GTGGTAGTGGTAGTGGTACTGGTACTGGTACTGGTACTGGTAGTGGCAGCAGTAGTAGCAGTACGACAGGTACCACAATTATTGCCAATGCGGAAGGAACGTTTTGAGATGGGTATTCGCGATGGTGGTCTTAATCGAGTGTTGACCGCATCAGCGAGAGCAGCAACACTGACACCCGCATCCGCAGCCATATGGATGACGGCAGTGGCAGGTTTTTGATTGGCCACAAGCCATAACTATAATCTCGATAGTGATAAACCTGATAATCCACTAGGTCGTACTCAGTGTCGGCGTGCGCTGCAAATGCCACACAAACAGCAGCAGGCACAACAGCAGCAACAAGTATGAAGAGGAGAAGAGATACTCTTCCCAACAGCCACGCGAGGATCGAGCATGGCGCTCAACTGGGGCTTGGAGTTGAAACTCTTGCGCCTAGCAAGTCGCAGCCCGACGCCCGGCAAAGTTCAATCGCACTTCTCTTGTTGTTGGAGTGCTGACATGGTCGGCTGGGCTTGGGGGTTCAGGATCGGCAGCTTGTCACAGCTGCTCTCAGAAGAAGTTATAGAAGATTTCCGAGCGAGTCTGTAGCAGTAGGGGCAGGCCTCTGGCGAGCCGTGCCGCACCGGTAAGGCGAGTATGGTGTCCGTGGCCACAGCTGCAGCATGGCGGCCGCCTGCTGTGAAGCCTTTCCTTGTCTTCGAACTGGAGGTTGGCCTGTAGCCGATGTCCTTGCCGGATGACCGTATAGGGGCCGTCATAATTCGAACAGGGTTGTGGGATATATTATACTACAGTTATAATAAGGAGTCCCTGAAATAGTATAGGTAAGTATTTAGGGACCTTGTCTGAATCACGGTTGTAGCTTCTGCAGCTGGAGCAGCTGAAAGGTGCTAGACCAGACACAGAGGGCAGATCCCAAGACGATCGTGCCGGTGGTGCCTTGGCGTTGACGTTAGGACCCTTAGGACATCTGGAAGACAATGGCGACATTCAGATGCTTGGTTTCTCTGTGGTTGTGCCGAATTAGTAGTTCTTCGTCGTCGTCGCAGTAATGGCAGTGGTAGTGCTAGTGGTTTTAGGTTTGGTGGTCGTCGTGGTGGTGGTGGGGGTGGGGGTGGTGGCGGGGGTGGGGGCGGTTGCGGTGGCGGTGGTGGTGGTGGTGATAGTGGTGGTGGTCGTTCACGTCGTAGTCGTAGTCGCCGTCGTCGTCGTCGTTGTGGTAGCAGTACTGGTAGTGGAAGTGGAAGTGGTAGTTGTAGTGGTGGTAGTGGTAGTGGTGGTAGTAGGCAGTAGGTGGTAAGTAGTAGTAGTAGTAGTAGTAGTAGTAGTCGTCGTAGTCGTCGTAGTAGTAGAAGTAGTGGTAGCAGTAGCTGCAGCTGCGGCGGCAGCAGCGGCAGCATCAGTGGCAGTAGCCTTTTATCAGCATCTTCTTGTTTGTCGTTTGTTCTGATGCTACTATCCGTACTACCTCTTGCAACTACACTTCTGCTGCCGCTACTTGGGTGGCTGCATCTGCTACTCGAACTACGCCTACTATCTGTACTTCTCCCACTTTCACTTTCGCAGTGCCTTTCACTTTCACTGTCACATTCACGTCTCCTGCACACCTCGCTGGGAGGCTCAGCAAGCCGTGGTCATTGACCGTGCCGCGCCCGTGGTGTTCCCCCGCGCATACGGAGCTTCACCCTGCTCAAGCCCAGGAGCTCTCGAGAGGGCCTTTTGGGGGTTTCTGCATAGCGCAGGCTCAGGGGCGTAGCCGGGTTAGGCCGGACAGCAGGGTTGGTAGTTGTTGGTGGATGCATGTGTGTGACATTTCGCCCACCATGCTGGTCATCCATATGTGCATGGTGCCAGGAGGGCCAGGAGGGCCAGGAGTGCCGGGTGCAGGAGACCTGCCAACCGGAACGGCAGCATCACTGTACCCCTTTTCGCAAGTGGACTCCATGACGGCACCGCCGGAGTCACGCAGATGCACGTAGCTGGTTGTCGGGTTGCCATGCTTCTGCAGCTTATGCTTGTGATAGACTCCTGGCGCTGTCGATCTGGTTGACATTGCAGAGGTGCTTCGTGCTGCAGAAGGCGGCCCGGATGCAGAAGGATGGCTTCAACTTTAAAGTCCAAGTATGGTCGATTCGGAGCTGTAGGACTGTAGGCGTTTCCGGAGCTCATGCACGGTGAGTTGGTGTCTGGCAGAAGTACGAGTGGCATTCCAGTCAGCCCTGGCGTACTGGTCACCTGTATTCAGAAACGCGATGTATGATTAGCCTGTTTGTTTCTGTCGTCTTCGGGCCCCTCTGACGAGTTTCTTTCGTAGGCTGTATGCTGGGAGGTCTCGACCTGTTGATGCACCTGTCAGAGGTCCTCTCGAGCGCAAGTGCCATCACTCGGACAACAACAACAACAAAAACAACGGTATCCACAACTACAAGAACGACAGCTTCTGCTACTGCGCTTCTGCCACCACCACCACCACCACCACCACCACCACCACCACCACCACCACTGTGTTCATCCGTCCTCATCGTTCATTCGCTCGTTTCATTTGTCTAAAGCTCGATTCGGCTTAGAGACGGCGCTGAGGACAGTCAACTTTGCCAGTCGCACCTGGACAGCACTCAAGGCTTCTGCTCTCAGAGGGGCGTTTTAGGCTGCCGTCTTGAGACACGAGGCCGCTCGTCAAGTTCTTCAAGTCCCAGATGGGCTCATGAGCGTGTTTTTTTCTGCAGCCTTGCAGCCACAGCAGTGGTTGTGCTTGTGTGATGTTGTGCTATGATTCTGTACACAAGCTAGTCAAGAGTTCATTCTGCAGATGCTTCCACACTATAGGGTTATAGGGTCGTGCAGTGTATGGGCCGCAGGGGGCTAGCGACATAGAAGGTCAGAGGCATGGACCTCGAGAAAGTCTGCCATGCCCCATGGCTAATCATCGGCTAATCCTGCCCTATTACAGGAACCAGTCAGCCTGGAGTTCATGCCACAGACTTGGTATCTTACGAAGGCCCTGTCGGTGCCGGCACTGTGACTACAAATTACCACCATGGCAAGGGTAGTGCCGCCCATAGAGATGCTCTTCAGGTGCTTTTGGGAGGGTCGGTTGCGAGTAGGGAGCCCGTGGAGGTGCTGTACCTGTAAGCATTCTCATGCTGTCTGCTTTCGGCTGCTGGAATTAGAGTGGGCAGCTTGTTGCATGCACCCGGGCCAGGAGATGTCTTAGTCGTGAATTTCTATCGATAGCTGGTAGCATGTAGCAAGCTTTGTATTTTGAGGAAGCGCTTTTGAGGAATGAGGCTAAGACTTCAACAGATGTTAGAAAACACCGAAAAAGACCAAAACCAGAAGCAGGCATTCGGTTTATGGCAGTTTTTTATGAACTGGTGGCACCCAGGCTCTCGAATATAAGACTCATCTGGTCCAAGTACAGGCTGCAACAGTTGACTCACCCGTAGATGTTAATGTTACGCATGTCTCTGAAAGGGCTGCGGTCATTCCAGATCCTGTCATGTCACTTCACTGGCAGGCGCTTTCAGATCCAAAGTAGGTGGGCAAAGCCCGAATTTGCACTGCCTTGGCCCTTTACAAACCCTTTTTCTGAAGGATAGCTTGCAACTCGTGAGGAGGGATGATTAAACCAACAACAATGCCTCACATAATGGCTGCACTGCTCTGCTACTGCTGCTGCTGCTGCTTTCTCTGCTGTGCTGCTGCTACTACTACTACTACTACTACTACTACTACGACTGCTGCTGCAGCGACCACGACGACTACTACTCCTGCTACTGCGGCTACGACGACGACGATTACTACCACTACTACTGCTGCTGCTGCTGCTGCTGCTGCTGCTGCTGCTGCTGCTGCTGCGATAACAACAACTACCTGCTACTACTCCTGCTGCTGCTACTACGACCACGACTACTAGTACTAGTACTAGCACTAG